CAAAATGGACAGGAACATTCAAGAACATAAGGGGGAAAATATAATCTAAAACTGCAGCCAGAAAATGCACCTGGAGGTCACATTTGCAATGGTAGGAGTGTGAATATAGGGCAACAACATCAATTCCTGGTTCCTGCTCATTGCAGCAATGGAGCAACAGGGCAGTGAGGAGGAGATGATGATGATGATGATGAGAGAGAGAGAGAGAGAGAGAGAGATGGTTAGATGGATAGATGGATAGATGGATAGATGGATAGATGGATAGATGGATAGATGGATAGATGGATAGATGGATAGATGGATAGATGGATAGATGGATAGATGGATAGATGGATAGATGGATAGATGGATAGATGGATAGATGGATAGATGGATAGATGGATAGATGGATAGATGGATAGATGGATAGATGGATAGATGGATAGATGGATAGATGGATAGATGGATAGATGGATAGATGGATAGATGGATAGATGGATAGATGGATAGATGGATAGATGGATAGATGGATAGATGGATAGATAGAGATATGCCACATTGTGGCCATGGATGCTATTTGTGCTATGCATTTAGAGGATGCTGTGATCAGGGAAAGAGTCCAGGTAAGTCTGGTACTTCAAAACAAAACTGATAGGCTTCAGATTTTACTTCTTTTCTTACTAAACCTGAGAAAGAAATTTAAATCCTAAAACTGTTGGTGATGCGAATCCAATTGCTCTGATTTTTTAATACCTTATTGACCTACTATCCACAAGAGGGCAACAGGATGTAAACAGAGAATTAAGGTTTTACTCTGTGTTCCCTCTTTGTTTATCATTCTGCTACCCTTAGAGATTAGAGATGGCTAATCTCAGGTCATATTTCCAGTCTCTTGAATGCTCACACACTATCAGCCTTTCACGGTAGACCAGGTCAAGAAATAGACGCTGCAGGGATTTCAGGAATGCTACTTTATTGCTGTAGGGCAGTGTTGTCCAAACTTGGCCACTTTAAGATGAGTGGACTTCAACTCCCAGAATTCCCCAGCAAGCATGGGTGGGGAATTCTGGGAGTTGAAG